ATGCAATGAAACTTCTTGTCAGCCGGTCGTTTGATGCGGACGTTGACAATCCACAGAACCTATGTGTTTTGTGTGGAAGCTCTCAGCATGGCTATAGCAGATGCAACAGCAACCCTCAGCTCAGAAAGCTAATGTGCGATGCTTTCGAAGTCATGACCAACGATATCATTAACACAAGATCCTGCTGATGGACGACCAGGCCGCGGAGGTCAAGCATCAGGTTCCACCGACAGAGTGTAGCATCGTCTTCTACCAGACGTCCAAAGGCGAAAGCTAGACCAAGGCGTGGCGTCCATGTGGCACATGCTAGTATTTTCGTCGTCGAGTACGATCAGACTTTGGTCCTACCAGCACGGGTGGTCCGACCGCTTATTCACAACCGCTTCCTGCGGAGCAGTCGGTTAGCCTATCCGGATGTTCGGTTCGGGACATAAAACCAGCCATTGACTCATGCAACACTACGGTAATCAAATAATTACCAGCTTAAAAGGACTCGTCGGCTCGGCAAGTCCGCGCACCCGAAGAAGCCGCCCAGAAATTGGGAACCGGTGCGTTCTTGAAGCTTGAGCCTTCGAAGCAATACTGGAGAACCCCTTGTGAAATTCGAGCCACGCAAACATGCGAAACTTAAACAAGTGCACTGATTCGTCCACACACCCGAACCAGCTATAGAAGTTCGGAACCGGTCCGTTGTTAAAGCTAGAGTCACCGGAAGCAATAACTGCGAACCCATTGTGAAACTTGAGCAGGCACGAAACTTGAGCCACAAGTACGCAACCACACAACTAACAATAGGGTTTTAGGGCTCATAGGGCATGTGTGTGGCCGACTTCCCAGCTGATGACCAGAGCCTCGGTTCAAAACAGTGGTTTAGAGGGGTATTCTCGTTGATTTACCGTATTTCTGTTTTCTCCGTAATCAGTATGTATATGCCAAAAAAGAAATGTATATTTATATTACACTGGCGGTCTTCTGTAAGGTATTCTACTACAGAATATTCCACATGGTGGTCTATCGGGCATTCTTTAAGGTATCTTGTAGGGTACTCCATAATGTATTGTACAAAACGTATTCTGTAGCCTATATTCAGAAAGGTATTCTGTAGGGTATCCTTTACGAAATTCTTAAAAATACATTGAGGGGATATTCTGTGAGGTAGTTGTAATAGCCTTCTATAAGGTCGTTGTAAGGCTATTCGTCTTGGTTCCTGATTTCCTTTATATGATCCCCTTACCCATAAGCGACAATTCAGGGGATCAGCTCCGCCTGGTTTTCCACATTTATAATCCCTGTCTGTCGGGTATTCCATAGGGGGTTCTGGAGGGAGTCCTTTCAGGTATTCTAAAGTTAAAATACATAGAGGGGGCATTCTATAATGTAGTTGTAAGGCCTGTTATAAGGTAGTTGTAAGGCTATTCGTCCTGGTTCCTGATTCCAATCAATCGTAGGAACCCCTTGCCCATAAGCTACAGATCAACTGAGTATACAGGGGTTATCATATACAGGCGGTCGTTTATAAGGTATTCAACAGGGTATTCCAGATGGTATTGTCTAAGGTATATGTACCTTATATCGGGGGACCAGTACAAAGTAATCTATAAGGTAGAAGGTATTCTATAGGGTATGTATCAGAGGTATTCTATCATGTATTCTGTTCTCTGTATGTATCCTTACTAAACAAGCTTCGATTCGTTCAAGGAGTTCCGAGATCCCAGATGCCGCACCGCGGCCCGCCAAACGGACCATTCGGTCCAACCCTCCTTCCCCCCGCAACGGGTGGATAACCCAGGGGGGGTACCAAATATATGTTTTTTTTGTTTTAAGTATTTTCGCAGTAGGGTTTCTTGTTGGCGCTTTGTTTTTGCTGTTTTGGGGTTGTAACATAAAAACACTCTTCTTATTAAGTGATTAATACCAAGAGTGTTCGGTTCAAAATCGCTGTCATCTTCTACTCTCTCTAGCTCATTGTTTAATCGGTCTAATTTATGTTCTAATTCAAGTCTTTCTAGGGGGCGCGGGTCAGGGAACTAGCAAATTCCCCTGGGGGGCGCGGGTCAGGGAACTAGCAAATTCCCCTAAGGGGCACGGGTCAGGGAACTAGCAAATTCCCCAGAAGGGCGCGGGCTAGGGAATTTCAATATTCACCCGGGCTAGGGAATTTCAATATTCACCAAGGAGGCGCGGGCTAGGGAACTAGCAAATTCCCCGGGGCGGGTCAGGGAACTAGCAAATTCCCCAACAAGCGTGGGATACGGAATTTCAATAGGTGGCGCGGGCTATGGTAGGGAATTTCAATATTCCCCCAGGGGGCGCGGGCTAGGGAATTTCAATATTCACCAAGGTGGCGCGGGCTAGGGAATTTCAAAATTCCCCAAGGGGGTGGCGCGGGCTAGGGAACTAGCAAATTCCCCAAGGGAGCGCGGGCTAGAGAATTTCAATATTCACCAAGGGGGCGCGGGGTCATGGAAATTTATATATGCCTTAAACAAGGATGATAGTATATCCTTATAATGAAATGGTTGAAATACCTAAAAGCCTCATTTTACATTTAAAGAAAAGAATGTATTAATCAGTATGGAAGAACAGAACAAAAGACAATGTTCAACATGAAAAAATTTTTTTAGGACAAATGAATATTTTGAAGAGTATAGAAAACTCTGTAATATTTGTATAGATGCTAAACACAGATACAGACAAAGACGCAAACCTGAGGTAAAAAACAAAGCCGTAGAAAGTAACAAATCTTAGTCCAATGGCTAACCCGAAGCTCTACAAGCATGGCTTTAATTGTAACAGCGCTTGAGTAGCGATGATTTAAAATATTGAAAACATGCTACTTAAAGTAACTATTTTGTTAAAAAATGTGTAGGGAGTGAAAAGTACAACGCTTAAGGTGCTTAAATCATTTTTTAGTAAAATTCTGGAATTTGATCTTAACCCTGGAAATTAACCCAAGTAGCGGGAAAAGTTAGACAACTGGCTAACCCGAAGCTCTACAATCTTGGCTTTATGTTAGGTTATTCTACGAACAACCTAACTAAAGCCCAGCTAAGCTTAGAGAAGGAAGCTAGGGGACAAGTCAAAAAGTGTTGAAAAAGTAAGTGTAAGAAAAATAAAACGAGAAAACGAATGAGACAACACTTAGAAGAAAACGAAGCAGAGACCCAAATAATGAATTCAGAGTGTAGAGGGGGAAAATAAAAAACGAGGGAGGAGACGAGGAGTGAGAACAAGTGAGAGACATTGTTGAAAAACAACAAATGAAGCAGACACGACAACATACATCATTCCACTCCTGAGAAACCCCTCTTTACATATTTCCCCCCGACCCCGCCCGCCCCCACCTTCACCCCCCCTCCCGCGCACGGCGACGCATCTGACAAGCCGCGCTAGTTTGCTTGCAAGGCTGTGTACTTGCAGGCACTTGCAAAGGTGCGCGCCTTCCGCGACAGAATTCGGAGGTGGAACTGCGGGCATGCTCAGAGCGCATGAAGTCGCACGTTTGCCAATCGCCGTGGCCCGGGGAATTTCAGAGCCTTCTGCGATCTGCGTCCGCCGCATGCGCCCGAGGTCTACTTTGCGACCGTTTGGCGGTCTACTTTTACATTGTTCCAGATCATGACGCTGGATCAATGGAATGAGTCTGTGGTGCGCCATGTTGTAGCCAATCAGCCGGCAATGCTCATTTTCTTTCTGATCTTCGTCTGCATTTCCAGCCTCGGCCTCATGAGTATCATGATTGGTGTCGTTGTGGAGAATACGTTGGCTACAGCCAACAAGGACCAGAACAAACTGAAAGCCAAGCGTGAACGGGACCGAAAGCAAGTCTTCAGTCAGCTTCAGGAGATTTTCGAGATGGCGGATGTAGATGGAAGTGGAACCCTGACCATCGATGAGGTCGAAGCTGCCATTCAGAAGCCCGAGATCTACAACAAGTTGAAGATGATCGATTTTCCAGTGGATGATCCCGGCCAAATCTTCGCTTTACTGGACTATGATGAAAGTGGAGAGCTGACAACGGAGGAGTTCATCACCGGCTGCATTCGCATGAAAGGACCAGCCAAGTCGAAGGACTTGTTGGTCGCCCAGGTTGGTGTGGATTCGATGCGAAAGCAGTACGCGCTCTTTGAGCAGGAGATGGAAAAATTCCAGGCCAAGGTCGCGATGCTGGATGCCACCATCCGGGCGGTGATGTCTCATGGAGAACACGTCTTCCTTGACACACGGCAGTATAGGATGCGGCACCCCGATTTCAAGGCACAGACGATGAAAAGATTGGCAACCAGCGAGCTAGAGAACATGCCTTGGAACAAGGAGGAGGAGGGTAACCAGGAGAGAGCTCTGGCGCTCACGGAGGGACGCTCACCGCAGGCCGGGGCCGGGGCCGGGGCCGGGGCGTCGCGGCGTCTCTGTGTGTTTCTCTGCTTTTGCTGCGCTTTGCTGAGGCTCTCGTGGACGGGACGCTGCGTGGTAACGCCAACCTGGATCTGGCCTTGCCCAACCCTCCGGCCCTGGGCGTCGACACAGGAGCCTCTGAAATCAGAAGAGTTTGCCAAAAAGCGCACTCGCTTCAACGCTCTCTGCAGGATCCAAGGCCCTAGAAGATCGACGAGATGAGAGCCTGGCCATTGCAGTGCCCGGTTCGCTGTCTAACTGACGTTTCTAATATGTTCATGATGATGGACGAATTCGCAGACCCTTGGGCTTTTTGGACATGCGGTGGTCCGCGTTTCACAAACTGCAGCTGAGCTGTTAAACAGCAGGGCTAGCAACTAGCCGGTGACTGCATGCACCAGAAGTCAAAAAGACGGCCCAGTGGGCCAAGTGGGAATTCTGAGCAATCGCGAATTCTGTGGGCGTTTCGAGGTAAGGACATGCGCAAGACAAAAGCCTTGCTTTTGCCACGAAGCCTTGCTCAGCCTTCAGCATGTTCAAGGGGTGTTCAGTATAGCCGCAGCCTGCAGGCAACTGCAGGCTGAAAGCGTCCTTCTTTGCGGCGCATGGCTTCGTTTATGCCCAGGGCTAAGGCGCGGAAACCCTTGCCATCCGACTGCCGCCTACACACCCTGTCAGTGGTCTTGCAGGATGTCATAACCGAGGAGGACATTCAAGCTTGGGTTTCTGCCGGTGTCCGCTTGCGGCTCTGAACGCGGTTGGAGAGATGAAGCCTGCTTTGTGTTTTTGTTTCAAGGTGCGGCGATGCCTCTCATGAATTCCGAGACTCGCGAGATTCTTCTCTTTGCAATGCGGGAACACCAGCTGGAGCCCTGTCACAGGGCCAGCGGCAGAGGGCAGCGAGGGCGGCGAGGGATGCGGAGGGGCACGTCGGCTCTGAGGCGCATTCTGGAAGAACAGACCCGAGTCCTGGAGCCTAGCCAGGCCTAGCCGATGTATAAAGTGCGCTGCGGAGAGCTCAGGCCATGCGGCGAACCCTGGAGGTTCAGTCAGGGGCCATGCAGCACACGATCGAGACACAAGGCAGGCAGGTCACACGCTTGGCCACGAGCTCAGAGCAGCTGCGATGCAGACAGCGATGCGAGCGCAGCGGCGTGCGCGGCGGCGTGCGCAGCGGCGTGCCTCTTAGATCGCCTTCGGTGGTCTGACGGCCATCTTCTCCAAGCCGGGGCCCCGGACCCGGACAGGCAACCCCCCCCACCTGGGCCTGCGGTGCTTGTGCGCAGGTTCTGGCAGGACGTTCCCCCTTGGCTTCGGGACAAGCGATGGTCAATTGCGGCGGCTTACGGCCTAGGTGTGCTTGCGATCATCTTTGGGATCTAATGCAAACGAAAACGGAGCGTTTGCATCGCCTTGCAAGCTGGAAGATCCAGCGCCGAGCAGTTCCGTCATCACTTCATTCCGGTGTTTCGAATCACAGGCTCATCGCACCATGGGCTGTACAAAAAACACAATAAGTCAGTCTGACAAGCCTTCGGCATGCATCCGGTACTCCGCTCTTCAAAGGCCCCATACTGTGGAAGGAAGCCCTACATTCCAGCCCTTTGCGGGAAGTTGCAATCTGGCACATGGGCAAGAAGCGTCTGGCCGGGAATGATCCAGGCACGAGCTTTTGCAGAAGCAGTCTGAGCATGATGCAGGTGCGAAATTATGCCCCTTGAGGTGCGCTCACCTTCCTTGGGCGCTTCCTGCTGTCGGCAACTGCTGGGGTCCTGGAAAAGCCTACAGATACAGACAGTAGGTGCCCCGTTTTTTGCAGGGTTTGGAGTCTGGTATTTGCCAGTTGCGGTTGCTCACACGACACCCGTAGCAGTGACCACCGACTCTAACACAGACGCCTGCGTTATCCACCAGGTGGGCTGTGATGCAAGGGCTGCCAGGGGTGTCTGCTAGAGTCGGGGTCACAGTCATGTCTCACACCACAGGCTGGACGAGACCTCTGGCGTAGCGCCTGCGCGCAGGGGGCGGGGACCTCCTGTTCCCCCCCCAAACGCCGAGCAAGCAAGCAAGCAAGCAAGCAAACAAACAGAGAGACAGACAGACTGACAGACGGACAGAGACAGACAGACAGACGGACAGACAGACAGACAGACTGACTGACTGACTGACTGACTGATTGACAGAGACAGAGAGAGACAGACAGAGACAGAGACAGAGACAGAGACAGAGACAGAGACCAGAGACAGAGACAGAGAGGCAGAGAGGCAGAGAGGCAGAGAGGCAGAGAGGCAGAGAGGCAGAGAGGCAGAGAGGCAGAGAGGCAGACAGGCAGACAGGTAGACAGGCAGACAGAGAAACAGACGGACGGAGGGACGGA